TTCTTTTTCACAGATCTATCGCCAACCAGGACCATGAGTCCATATGGAATAGCTAGCCATTCAATTTTGCAAGGAAATCGTTGCAGGTCAGATATATGGTGGACCATAGTGAGGAATAAATCCCCCTAAAATTCTGAGTGCTGCACCACTTCTTGTTTTCTACAGTATGTAGGCTGTACTGCAGATACTCTACCAACCCGACTCCAAAGAGTCCAAACCAGCTTCATTTTGACAAAATCTTGGTTATTCATGGTGATGTAGATAGTTTGGCATGGTACGTTGATAGTCTGAGGTTAGTTTTTCAGTTTTTCCTGAGGTATTGGTTTGAATTGGAAAATTGTACACGAAAGAAACCATCTTCTACAGTGGTGCTTATTGCTGCTCGTGGAAATTCATTCCAATCCATCCAATCCAAAAGATATTTGATATAGCGCCTTTTCCTTGCAGTTACAAAGCGCTCCACACAAGCTCCACAATGTTTGGCCCACTTAAAAACAAAAGTTAGACACTTCTCAGAGATCAGTAAAAGTATATGTAGGCTGGTAATAAAGTAATTTCTAGCAGAATAGATGTGACTTGAGTAGTTTCTTGAACTGGTCAAAAGATGAGGCCGTCTGCACAGCAGTAGGTAGCTGGTTCCACAGTTTTGTAAAAGTTTTGGTGCAATCGTGAATTATATGTAACTTAGAAATACCGGGAGTAGAATTGTACATGATACTTTTCTTTGCAATTATACATACATATGTGCCCAATGTAGTTTGTTGAATAGATTGTTTTCTGGGGGAAAAAAAAGATTGTACATGATAAAATCAACATCAAGTCATCCTTGTGTGGACCCCGTGTGGACTTCACATTGTCACACATTCAACTTAAATCAATAGTTTATCATGCTAGTTTCTGACACTTCAAATAATGCTTGCTTCGAGTATGACGTACATGAACAATGCTAGATGCATGCTGGTATATCTACCTCAACAGGTAACTTGCATCACAATACAAACATCTAATTGTAAATTTTCCCACACTGAAGTCTGAAGATTGGGTGGAAAAAAATGGTAACTGGGTCATTGAAGGTGAATAGCATTTACAGATGTATTTAGAATACATGTCAAGTGAGAGACGTGACCTTTGACCTCAAAGTTCAAGTACAACTCTGCTGGAGTTGGTAGGCTGAACAAGCTGCAAAATTACTTCAAGGTTTTATTTTAGTCAAATTCATACTGTCGGTAATCTTTGAAAAGTTGAAATTTTAATGTATCTGGAAAATATCTGACTAGTGAACTAGTGAAATAGAGTATAATTATGTAGAAATATAGGCCTAGATTGGTGTAAGCCTGTAAAGAAAGGCATTGTACATAGGGCCTAGATACATGTAGCTCTGAAAATATCCTGAAAGATCTGTGCACACAAAATAAAATGCAACAAAATCCAGTCCTGAGAATACTTGCATGTTTTATTTTAATCTGAAAAGAACTTGTGTGGTTTCATGTACATGTCTGCATTTGTATGTATTCAAAGATGCTTTTTGCTAGGTCTTCATCAATAGATATATTGTAATGATTATATTTTATTGTGTGGTCTTTTATTATTAGGCGCACCCAACACGAGCATGTGCTTTCTGGTAATCCTCGCCTTCTTTCTCACATGCCAATGTAAATCCCTGAAAACGAAATAGATATACTTCTGAATAAAAAAATTCAAAAGGGGGGGGGGGGGGGGAGGGTGGAATACCCTACATACCTGGGGTACATTCATGTAAGGAATTAATGCCCTCATTGTAATGCCTACAATTGATCAAGGTTAGGGGTTTCCCCTTTTTACAGAGCTTAGGGATTGATTTTGTTTGCTTTCTGCAATCAATAAAAGAAGCCATGCCAATAGTTTCCTTATATGGTCTTTGACTATTAAAAGGGTGTTTTCTCTCACAGTCTCTGCATTGTGCTAGTCTGGCATTCAGACTGAGTGAGTAAGTTTCCTCTGATCGAAAATGAAAATGTCTTTACGACTACCGGTACCATTAATCCTCTGGCTTTTTAAGAACTTTTACTACAGGCATTAATAGGTGGAATAGTCTACTTCTTGCTGTGCAGTTTATTGTACTTTTGTGTTCTGGCTTTGATGAAAAAAAGGAATTGGAACAGAACTTGATGAATAATTCTGTCTGATTGTTCAAGACTACGATTGAATGAATAGATCTGCTAAACAGATTTTAATGATCTGTGAGTAGCCGATGAGTAATGAGCGAAATATGAAAAAATAGGTCCCTTCGAGTGAAGAAGAATAAAACATGTACAGGTGTGTTATTACTATTGAAAGCAAGAGATTTGCTGTATTTATTTTTAAAGTTTGCCTTTGTCAAGACGATTATCAGAGCATTGGGGGGGGGGCACTTGGATTATGGATTCTTTGTGGACCTTTTAAAGGCAAATTGGTCAACTTTAGATATCTCTAGCTCTTGTTTTCCTCTCCGATTTGAGGAGGAAGAAGAATTGTTTAATAATAGCTCACTTTGAACATCCTTGACACATCACAAAGTTTGTACATGATATGCAGTAATATGCAAATATTTTTAAAGAGATATTGAATGTAGATCAGCCTGTAAGCTAAGGAAATGTCTTCCAATCAACCTTCTAAATTACAAGTCGTGTTTGCACATTGCAGAGTGTGTTACATAAAGGCCTGTCTTCATCAGCTCGAGTTGGCCAAATAACCCGCTATTTTCAGACTCTGGATATTATCTCGAAACTCGAAATTGCCTCCTCACCAGACTTATACGCTCATGACAAACTAGCTCGGACGGGCACAAATTAGCCCGCTATTTGGGAAATAGCGGGATATTTTGGATACAACCAGGAGCACACTATCCAAAGGGAGTTTGGGGAGTTTTCCTCATGGGCCACTCAGTATTTTGGCTTGAGGGTTGGTCCATTTGTGGTCCGAGGGCCGGTTGATCAAGATCATATATTGTGAGAAGGCAGGTCACATCAATACCCCCTACCACATTTCAGTCCTAGTCCGCCCCTGAAAAGGGTACATAATGATGACATGGACCCCCTAGAGCAAAAATGTACCTATTATTGGTGATAAAAACCTTGTTATTGGCCTTTATGACTGTTTTGTATGAACATGTACGTGTATGAAGGTTAGGTTAAAGTCCATGTTTGTTCTGAAGTTCTACCCCCAGCCTTGTTGTGTTTGTATTACATGTAAATGTAGCATAGCAATATGGAACTCTGAACATTCAGAGCAGATTGTTATTATAATTCTTTAAAAAAGATTGGTGATTGTTACCCTTTAAAGGTACTATGTCCCATTTGCAGCCCAAAAAATGAAAAGGTTAAATTCCAATGGCATTTGAAAGATAATACTAATTTAGAACTCCCCTTAAAAAAAAGGGGCTTGAAAATGTCTTTAAGTGGGAAAATAATGACTAATAGTTGTCAAATCGACTTAGGAGCTATAGAGCCAATAAGTAATAGTCTTGATTTTCAGACCAATGAGACCATGGTACCCCATGGTCGTATGTTTTATGCTGCGCAAAGATTCAATCAGTTTAATTTTGGCCATTACAAAAAGTGGGTTATTGATGTAGAAAAATCCTTTACAGCTCATTTTATGTACGTTATTACCAAAGAAGAAAAAAGCCAGTCAGTCACTCAATAGTGTCTGATAGTGAAGTCTAGCAAGAAAACAGTTTCCTTGCATAATTTGAATATTAGGACACTGCTAACGTTTAAATGCCAAAGATAGGACATACATGACATATTCATAATTCCTTCAAAGTTCTACACAATTTGAGGTTGGCCGCGAAAGAGACATAGTATCTTTAATGTATGGAGGTTAGGTTCTGGACTTCTGGTCCATGTTTGTTCTGAGGTTCTCTCCCAGCCTTTCTGTCTTAGGTGTTTGTTCGACATGTGTTTGTATTAAATGTGTCATAGCAATATGGAACCCTGAACATACAGAGCAAATTATTATTATGATTTTTTTTATTTTAATGGGTGAATGTTACCCTGCAAAGCCTATCTGCACTAGTTTGGCCAGGAGGGATTGGACCTCCCTGCATGGTCGCGACAGGTGGCTATCTCATCAAATCAGCTCTCAATTAACATAAGAAAAAGGGGACCATGGGGGACCAACAGTCACCGCTTAGGCACTATTTGCTATATAGAGGGCGAAAGTAGCTACAAGTAGTACAGTGGGCCTTTAATGTATGAAGGTTAGGTTCAAGTCCATGTTTGTTCTGAGGTTCTTCTACTCGATCCCAGCCTCGTTGTCTGGGGTGTGTATGCATGTGTTTGTATTGTGATCAATGTTGATTGGATTACCATGTGAACTAGCTGACTGTTGGTCTCAGACAACACTTCCTTCATTTGAACAAGTGCAGGTACTGTACTCACACAGATATGTGTGTTCATGTTGGCCTACATGTAAATATATATGTGGGACTTTGCACATTACTTATGCCGAGGTCACATCAATGCGTTGAGCCTATGCATTTCCATTTCGATGTCTTAATTCAGACATAGATGTACATTTAGCTCCGCTGTGTTTTCCATGCGTTTTAGGGGAAACAGAATGATAATGCATACAGTTTAGGCCCAAGAAAATTGTGGACTTGTTCAAATTTTTAAGTTCCGCTGCATTTCCACCTCGAACTGGCATAGATGATAGAGAGGGTATCGAAGTGACATTGAAAATTAGCATACTTAAAAATCTAGAATGCATTGTAGGGTAACATAAGCATATAATGTACAATTCATACATAGTTTGCAGATACAAACATAACAGAGGGTATGAGCTTGTAGACTATACTCAATCTTTATTGGCTAGTCTTCACTCAGTACACAATAGTTGTTGTTTATAAAGTGTCAAATAAAGTGCCTGTGCTTGTAGACTAGTTCATATTCTAAATGTATGTTTCATACTAACAAGTACAAGTCACAGTCCAGTGGTTGTACAGAGAAAGTCTGTCCGTCCGTCCGTCCGAATCCCCTATACAAGAAATCCTTAGGGTATTGTGGTAGGATGTATTAATAGCAATCTTTCAGGAAAGGCCGCTAATGGCCCGACTCGATCCGTGGTTAGGTGAGCTCTGTAGGTAGGAAGTGGACCTCCACACATCATTGAGTGATCGTCCGTCCGAACAAGCAGTTGTGTGCTCATCGCTTCCTATAGAAACTAATTTGTCGAGGGTAGATCAAGTTTATACAGCGTACGACTGGTGGTACTGCTGCAATACCTTTGTGAAGCTGTTTGGAATACCTGTACTAGGTATATTGTGGGATCTGCGGACTCCTTTTTGGATTTAGGAATATTACAATCTAATCGTGGACTTTATTATTGGGAAGTTGTAATTGCCTGGTATAAAACACAGAAACTTGGTGAGTAAATTAATTGGCATTCATAATGTAGAGTGCAGTGCAGGCTCATATGTATACCTACTTTATACTCCTTGTATTTACTTTTCATCAAATTATTAAATATTCACAATCATGTCTGCCTATACGACAGCCTGCACATATACAATTACCGTACATACTATAGAATATGAATAAGATGTACGGTATGAAGAAGCACATTGTATGATCACAAACTCTGTTTATGTACTGTATGTACAGTACATTGTAAATGTTGCACAACTTCAAGTACCAGTATAATTTCTTAGAAGTTTAATTTTGTTAACCTCCTTATCAAATACAAGCTGCCGTATTTGTATCACTACTACCGGTACATGTTCATGTAAGGGCTCAATGACTGGAGCCAAGCTCAGTGGTGGTGGTAGTGTGTAAAAGAGCTGCAATATGAATTTCCCAGAATGTAACTGCTGAATATTGTTGTGAGAATTTTTGTTTTGTTTTTAATTTGTTGTTGTATTAATTGTGCAATTTTGAATAAGAGCGAGTGCAGGTACCCAACAAATAATTGTTGATAGCGGTTCACACCAGGGGGGTATTTTCACAAAGCCTCTTTTCACTGACAAATGAGTGAAAAATCAGTGACAAATCTGCTGATAACCAATCAGAAGCAAGGATTTCACTAGCTTATAACAAAAACTCATTTAACTGTCATTTGTCACTGATGACAAGTTTGTGAAACACCCCCAGCAGTCCTTGTAAGGGGAGTTTCCAAATAGGCGTTACCAAATTGGTTGGCTGCTCAGATGATGCTATGTATCACTAATCTATTAAAAAACACAATGTAACTTGAAGGTAAAGACCAGTTTGGAAACGCCCCCCTCTCAAAGAATGAAATGGAAGCTCTTATATTACCAATCGTGAAAGAATATGTTTTGACTAATACATGATAACAATTTTGCCGGGAAACCGCCTACTAATCGATATATTTGGTAAATTAGTTTATCTATTGGGACCAAATAAATAATACGCATGTGTTGCGCACGTGTGCGTAGTCCCATATACATCTTTCTGTTTACAGTGCTTGTAACTTTACGAAGACTGGGCCAAATTTCTTATCATTTTGATGATTCCAGAACCTTGCGGTACACATCAATACTTATATGTACATGTACATGTATATGCTAGATGATCAACCTTTTCTGATCGATTCCACAACGTTTCTTTCACAATGCAATCGCATGACCAGAACTGGTCTTTATCTTTAACATTTCTAGTACAATTTACAATAGTATAAAACTTGAAATGAGTGGCAAACAACCTACTTGTATATCTACTATGTACCATTTTATTTTCTATAATTAGAAAGGAGCTTTGTACTACAGGAACCACAAGTAGTTTCTGATGAGAATTTCTTTGATTCAGGATAGATACAATGTAGATAGATAATGCACTCAACCACAGTGGCTATTCATAAGCCTTTTGCTCTTTGTTCTTTTCTAAGCGTTTCAATCAACGACTACAATATAGCAGGAAATCACACCAGGAAGAAACATACACCGTCATGTAAAGCGTTATAGAAACCTGGACGGCTCTTGTAGTCTGTTCATAATGAAGGAAATCTATATGAAACCTGTATTAAAAGAAACGTATAAAGAATCGTGTAGTGAAAGGAGTGTACATACTAGGAAACAAGATCATACAAAAGAACATTGTATCAGAAACTAATTTTAAATAGGTCAATGGACTTTACAGCTGGCCAATCATCTGCATGCATTTACATTAAGCCCCGCCCAGCTATACGATTTCTGTACGATATGACGTGCATTCAGACTAAAGCGGGAACCTGATTCTTAATTGAGTTTTTGTTTGAAACGATGCTCAAACATCCATTCTGATGTTCAAAATTTCTTTACACAACTGTTGGTTCAGACTTTAAAAAACGTAATAACTACTATAGAGTTATCTATACGATCCTTATGTAGCTATACGATGAGCTCTTGGAGTCTGAACGTAGGGTTAATGTAAAGCTTGGACGGCTCGTAGTCAGGGATAGGAAACGGGTTATGAAGGAGGAATAGACAGGATATCGCAGAACTCGTTAGCAATACAGATGACCCTCTTGACCCAATTTCCTCTTCATTTGTAGTTGTAGGTGTGTGTTCACATGGTACATGTAAGTCATGATCACTTACAGTGTCGTACCCTGTTTAAATATAAGTGTGAACATTGCTCATTTTTAGATGACCCTCTTGACCCAATTTCCTCTTCATTTGCAGGTGTGTGTTCACATGGTAAACTGTGATTGTACTAACAGTGTCGTACCCTCTTTGAATATAAGTGTGAACATTGCTTGTTTTTAGATGACCCTCTTGACCTAATTTCCTCTTTATTTGCAGGTGTGTTCACATGGTAAACTGTGATTGTACTAACAGTGTCATACCCTCTTTGAATATAAGTGTGAACATTGCTTGTTTTTAGATGACCCTCTTGACCCAATTTCCTCTTCATTTGCAGGTGTGTGTTCACATGGTAAACTGTGATTGTACTAACAGTGTCGTACCCTGTTTAATTATAAGTGTGACCATTGCTCGTTTTTAGATGACCCTCTTGACCCAATTTCCTCTTCATTGGCAGTTGTAGGTGTAGTTACCATGTGTTCACACGGTATGTCGTGATTGTACTTACAGTGTTGTACCCTGTTTAAATATACGTGTGAACATTGCTCATTTTAGATTCAAGGGGATGGGAGCTGGACTTAATTTAAATTTATTTTGATTTTATTTACTGCTATTGAAGGAAAAAAAAAACGAAATTCATAAATGACAAGAATGTAATAGAGGTGAATTACCTTGTCATTTGTGCCATGATGCTTGATAAAGCCCGCTTATAAACCTGTGCTGCATCGTCATGTTTGGTTTGATTTGAGTTATACTGCACATGGCTAAAATCACTGGAACAAACAAACTTGTTTACTTAAAGATATCACTGTTAATTGTAAGTGTAAAAATGTAGGAGGAGTGATATGTTAGTGGTAGAGCAGTTGTCTTGTTCTGGGAGGTCCTGGGTTCAAAATCAAGTTGATGAGTTTGTATATCCTTTAGTGAAGCATTAGTCCTCATTGCCGAGTCCCACGGATAGGACCTCAGCCGTAGGTCCCCATGCTTGCATACATGTATGCATACCCATAACCATATACATGTACTTGCTTTCATAGCAATCGATTGAAGAAAAAAAAAATCAATTAATCAATTAATCATCAATTATTACTGGTGAGTCGAAACCACAAGTTGATACTTTTACTATCCCATTTAATGAACTCTCAAAGCAGGTTTTAAAAAAAAAACAATTGGGAGACAGGTGCTTTAGAAATGAACTGGTTAAGGAATATGATTTTCCTGTTTCACACAACCGACACTTTGGTTGAATACACTGTAGTTTTGGTGCAAAATCTAATTTCAGTCCTGTATATCATCAGTTGGAGCAAAAAGGGTGTTACTTCATATACTTCAACACAGATTTCAGTGGTGCCCTTCTGGCTCTGATTGGGGGGGGGGTGTTTCTTAAAGCTGTGCGTCAAGTTACGCATGACTTTACGAACGTCTTCAATATGAACAGCTAAATCAGGGCTGTCAACTTGTAAGAGCACATTTTTTGTTGTTTTTGGTGTGTGTATATGGTACGGTTTGGCGGGAGGTTTTTCATAAACCGGGAGATTCTACATCGTTGGCGGGAGAGCAGGAGGAAAGCGTGTGGCAGGAGTCTCCCGCTACGAGCTTTTGAGGCGGCGGGAGAATGAGCGTGGTGGTGTAAGACTCCCTCCAAATGCGGGAGGGTTGACAGCCCTGGCTAAATGGGATTCTCAAATCCTTTTAATTGCAGGAGCTAAAGTTGAAATATGCAGATGTAGATGAACGTTATCATTATTAACAAAACATTTTAATGCAAAGTGTACTTTGGGCTACAATTTAATTGAGATTATGGGAAATACAGTCACACTTTCTTAAAACGTCAGGAAAAACTTTGAGAATCCCATTTGGCTCTTCATATTCAAATCATTTGTAAAGTCATTCGTAACTTTACGCACAGCTTTATGAAACACCCCCCAGGTGATATATTTCAGCCGTATGACCGGTAACAGGGTAGAATACAATGAACTGTCACTGAATATTTGTTTAAAAGGGGCTGGGTGAGGGAATACAATAAATGCACCTACATGGGTATTGTTTAATTGTTGATTTGTGTGAGCCATGTCAATTGCTAATAACAATTGCGCAAGGTTATATCTTTAAGAAACCGGTGGTGTGCGAATTATGTAGGGCACGAATCGGTCACGGGGAATTTTGTGTTTGATAAATGCGTGTAGAATGGTATTTTCACTTTAGGCGTTCAAAGAAATTGTGATACCAATTATCAATTGGGCATATTTCACGATGTAAGAACTTGGAAAACTTGCTTGCATGTTGTAGTGAGTGGTTTCTATGAAAAGAAGGTGGGGGAAAACTGTTTTTGAATGGTTATCATGGAACGCTGCATTTGAACAATAATTTGCCTTTCATTTTGACTGTGTGTGGTAATAAACTTTGCAGTGCATTCTATTGACTCTGATTCTCACATACTGTATGTATGTAGGCTTGGCAATAAAGGCCACACCAGAGCTAATTGAAAGAGATATTAACATTTTTTGTACATGGGGAAAAATTGGGGATAAACTAATATACATGTAGCTATTATAATGCAAGTGGGCACATGAAGTATTAGGTATTAATTTGGGACTGCACATATAGTGTATAATTGCAGGGCGGTCAGCCTAGTCAGAAATGTGTAACTTTAAAATCAAAAGCTGTTTGTTAAACTCATTCTTTTAAAGCGTATCTACACTAGTTTGGCCAGGAGGGATTAGACCTCCCTGCATGGTCACTGACAGGTGGTTATCTCATCTTATATAAGCTCTTAATTAACATGAGAAAAAGGGGACCATGGGGGACTAATGGTTACCGATTAGGCATTTTTTGCTATATAGAGGG